AGAGGGGGCGGACGCACACCTGTCTCAGCAGGTAGAAACAGTGACCTTTAGACCCCTCAGACTTGTTTTGTTCTCAAACATACAGAAAAGTGTAACCAGCGACAGGGCCAGCCCCTCCCGGTCACTTCCCACCCCGAAACGGAGCCCCAGGCGGCCCTGAAGCATCATCGGTTCTTCTGTGGGCAGGATCGCTGCCTTCCGCGAGGCGGCCAGGGATGGTGCGCCCCGTTCCCCTACTGGGGGGCATTTCGGTGGCTTCATTTTTGGTCGTTATGACTAGAGCTTCAAGGAACATGCTAGAACTGGCCTTTGGAGAGCACAGCTCGTTCCCCTTGGGCATCTATCTGTCAGAGACTGCAGGGTGCAGGGTGAGCACCCAGGTCTCCTGGGGCGGCCGCAACCAGTGACCACAAACTGGGAGGCTTAAAACGAGAAGACGTTGCTCACATTCTGGAACCCGGAAGTCTGAGATCGAGGTGTCACAGGGCTACGTGGCCCCCAGAGGCTCCAGGGGAGGGTCCTTGACGCCTCCGCCACCTCTGCCAGCTCTGCGGGCGGGGGGGGCTCCAGCAGCCCTGAGCTTGAGGCCGCGTCGCCCCGGTCTCTGCCTCCATCGTCACGTGGCGCCTGCTCTGTCTCTTACGAGGACGCTTGTCATTGGTTTCAGGGCCACCCGGATAATCCAGAACGAGCCCATCACGACACTCCGAGTCACACCTGCACAGTCCCTTTCCCCTAACAAGTTCCCAGCCGTAAGTTCTGGAGACTGGGACGTGGACATAGCTATTGAGCCTACTATCGTGACTCGCGTTCGCCTACAGCAGACGCGGCCGACCTGTCGCTCATGCCCACGTCAATGGGAGGACGACGGTCCGGTGCATCCCTCTGAGTGGACGCGTGTCCTGTGGGTCAGGGTCTGCTACAGGGTCAGCGAGAGAAGGGCAGGCAGATGATGGGGGGGTGTGTGTGTCTGCAGAGAATTAGAAATAATAAAGAAAGCGTGAGTGACCTGAGAGCTGGCGCTCGGACATACTGCTGAAAACAGTCCTTCCTGGGAGGAAAGAAACAGCCGCTGTTTTGCTAACACGGACTCTCGTCTCAGACGCGCTCGTTTTCATTACTCTTTCATGAGCATCGCCTGCGGGAGGTCGCTTTGGAGAATCCCCAGCTCTGGACGCGGGGAAGCAGCCAGCCCCGCGTGCTTCTTGGGCGGGGACGCTCCCGTCCGTACACGTTCTGGTCACTCTGGGCCATGTTTCCGTCTCTAACTCAGAGGGGCCCTGAGTATTCCTATGGGGCCACGGCAAGTAATTCAAAAAGAGCCTGGGACTGTGAAGAGGAGAAAATGAATTTGGAGTCACTCTGTTTCCGCCACGCTACGTGACCCTGTCGAGGAGCTTTTATTCCTGTGTCCATGGAAAACAGCGAAACGGTGTAATATTTTTGCTTGGCGAGGGCATACGTTAGTCCTGAACCACAGTCCTGGATTTGAGCATCTTCAGAATTTGCGGTCTTCTACTTTCTCTTCAGATGGTTCGATCGCTTCAAAGCTAAAGGGCAAAGCCACGGGGTGTTTACTGCGCTTGTCATAAGATCGTCACTGGAAATGGTGTCGCCACAGAGATCGGGCTAGGGAAGGCACTGCTCAGGTGGCCATCCTACCTGCCGGAGGAGACCCTGTGCTGGCCCCTCCCCAGGGCACGTGCCTCATCTCAGCTTGGGAGTAGGTGGCAGGGCCCTAGACCCCCCACTCCCCAACATAGAAAGGCAGAGGGCAAGCGGCGAGAGGCTCGGAGCCTTAGGTGGGTGCTGGCGTAAGGGTGCCTTCTCGAGGAGGGCAAGCCTGGGCAGGAAAGGTGTGTCTTCAAAGGCCCAAGCGCAGGGCCCTTGGGGGCTGTAGGCGGCACTGGGTGCCCTAACTCCCTTCTCCCCCCCATCCTGCCACCAGGGGGCGCCCGGGACCCACACTTCCTTCCAGAATTGTGCCACACTTTGCCCGGGGAGTAGGGGGAATTCTCCAGCATCGGCAGGAGATGACAGGGTCGGGACAGCCCAGGGACTGCTGGCCCCTGGCATACAGTAGGCGCTCAATAAATACCTGGGGGAGGAATGCATGAATGATGGCGGGGGAAAGGGAAGGAACCAGGAAGTGCGATTCCCACGGTCGGAGTCCGCCAGGGCCGAAAGGGTACTTGCAGATGGGGAAACTGAGGCCGAGAGGGGGGCAGGAACTGTCGTCCGCAAGGTCAGGGGCTGAGCCCATCCAGGCCTGAGACCCCCACACGGTGCGCCCCTCACCCACTGCCAGCATCCTTGCCCCAGAGAAAAAACCACGATGATACAATCCCAAATGGCGGCGTGAGCCACCCTACCCAGGATGGGGAGGTGGAAGGTGACCTCTCAGGGGCGCCCCTCGGGGAGGCTGCTGGGCCACCCCACAGCGTCCTGCTGTAGAATAGGAGAATCTGCCCAGATCACAGGACAGGGGCAGGCAAGGCCGGGGACTGACAGCCTCCTCCCCTGGGGGGTCCAAGATGGATTTGAGGCCCTGGAGTGGGCATGTTTACCCCCCCCCCACCGTTTCCCATCCTCGTATGTTCCCTGTCCCCACCCCCCACCCAGGGTCAGACATGCTGAGGGGAGGTGGGGACTGGACCAAGAGGAGGAGGGAAGGGGTGTGTGAGGTCACACGTGTGCACCCGATGGCCAGTGCATCCCACGTCTCAGTGGCCGAGAATGAACCCGCCCGGAAGCGTTGAAGCTGTCAAGGCTGCCTCGGAACATCCCAGCAGCCAGAGCAGAAGGGAGCCGCCCGCAACAGTGCACGGTAAGGCGTGTCTTCTAGGGGGCGTGCCCGTTTGTGACATGAGGGCGTGTGGGTAAGGGCCAGCGAGAAGACAGCACAGAGTGTCGCGATCTCCAGCAGCGACGAGTGAGAGAGGGAATAAGTTAAAGAGGCAATTCAGTGTGTCCTCAGCAGTTCCTGCCCGCTCGTGACAGGGGACCTGACCGCGTGCAGAAGTGTCTTAAGTGTGTGTGAGGGAGAGTCACATAACCGTGGGTGGGAGATGTCGTCGAGCTTCCTGGAAGCCAGGGCAAGAGGGGAAATAGGTTGAGTTCGAGCCTGGTCATGCACGTCTTTCCTCCTGTGAGTGGTGGCGGGGACGGGCCTCGCCTCGGGGCTCAGACAGGGCAATGACGAGCGGCCAGGCGAACACGGCTTTCCTCCGCGGGGCTCCAGGGCCGGGCGTAGCCAGCGTGGGGCAGCAGCAGCCGGTCCTGAGTGCCATCGGGGCTGACGAGGCGCCGGGCGGCCAACAGGTACTCTCGATGGAGGGCCAGTGGAGGGCAGGGGCAGCGGCCCGGTGCCCACATGTACTCGAGGGCCTGCAGTGGCGAGCGGTTTTTGTAGACGAGCTGCACACGCACCTCATAGCGGGTCTCCTGGGCCTGGCGGAGGCGGCCCAGCACGTGAGCCCGAAACACTGTGGGCAGGGTGGTGCCAGGGCTAGTCGCTGCTCCAGCTGGACACCTATCCCTGCACCCCATTGCCAGACAAGGGAACTGGGGATCGGGTGGGACATGGGGGGCTCTGGGGGCTGGGGTTAACTGGAGTCAGGGTCAGGTCAGAGATCCACGAGGACTTAAGGGGTCTACTTAGAGCAACGGGTCCGATGATAGTCACATTAGGCTTAGAAAGAGGAGTCAAGTTGGAGTCGAGAAGTCAAGGGTAAAGTCAGATCAGGGTCAGAGGTCAGCAGGACAGGAGCCAAGTTCAGGTCAGTTAGGGGCCAAATGAGAGTTGGGGAACAGGGGTCTCTCACCAAAGTCGCTGCCGCAGTAGTGAAGCAGGCGGTGAGCGCGACCGCGGGTGTCCAGGCAGGGTGGGCAGGGGTCTGCAGGAGGGGGGGGAGGTAAGGGGGGTGCAGTCAGGCACAGGCCTCACCACCCTGCTTGTCCCCACCCTGGCCGCCTCCGCCTCACCACCTGGGGTGGGAGTCGGGATCCGTGGGGGGTCCGGAGCGGGGGCTGCAGTGGTCTCAGGGGGCTGAGGCTCCACCTCCCGAGGCTGCGGCTGCCGCAGGGACCAGCCCAGGGCCTGTGTCTGCTCCTGGAAGGGGCCGTAATGTTCTCGAGGGAGCCAGAACTCAAACTCAATGCCGGGGTTGGGCTCCTGCAGGAGGACCTGGGGGGCGGGGGGCGGGGATGTGGCACGCTAGAGAGCCGCTTAACTCCATGGGCCAGCCTCCCCGCTCTGACCCCAACCCCGGCCTCCCCCAGATCCTTCGCCCCTCCCCTCCCCGCGCCCCGCCCACCCCTGGAGGCCCAGCTCGCACCTGCAGGAGTAGGTCCTGGGAGGTGGGCCCAGCCGCACGCAGCGTCTCCTCGGCCCCTGCGGCGCGGGTGTAGACCACGCGGGTGCCCGCTGCCTCGTAAGTCCCGGGCGGGCTGACTGCCCAGTTCCCGTTGAGCACGTAGTGCCCGTCTCCCGCCATCAGCGCTGAGGGAGAAGGGTCAGCCCTGGCTCCCTGCAACGGACCCCTCCCACCGCCCGACCCCGGCGCCCCCCTCTCCAGGCCTCAGTCTGAAGACTGCACCCGGCGTCCCCCAAGCCCCACCCCGCGATACCCAGGTGGTTACGGCTCCGGTGAGCGGCACGGATGTGTCGGGCGCCCTTTGGGATCAGGGTCACGTTCCAGTACCCCGCGAAGGTTCCTGAGCGGGAGGGAGGGAGGCGTTGGGGCGAGGGTAGGGGCGCATCTGAGGGAAGTTTGAGGATTAAGAGACACCGTGGGTAAGGAGGTTAGCTATGGTCTCGGCACCCCTAAATTGCTCCATAAACGTTTGCGGTGATGATCGCTTAAGTGCGGCAGTGGGAGTTAAAACCCCATCTGTTCTGGGGAGGGCGGGACAATCTGGCAGTGACCAATCAGAATGAAGAGCCAGAGGGGGCTGGGCCGCAGACTGCCCAATCAGCGCGGGCCTTCGCTTCCGCCCCGGCTCCTTAAAGGGCCCGCTCTGGGGGACAGGTGAGGACGGGGCGGGCGGTCACCTGCGTCACGGAACACGCGCTGCACCAAGAGGCACGAGTCGTTGGCGCCGCCGCAGCGGCCGCAGCGGTCCTCGCGGGCGTCCGAACCCATCAAACCGTCGCAGCCGGCGCTCTAAAGGGGCCGGGAGGGCGCAAGTCACAGACTAGCCCCGCCCCCGCCCGGGGCGGTGTCTTGGGAGGGGGACAAGGCTCCGAGCATCAGGGGCGGGGCTTAGGGACAAGGGTATAAAAGAAATGGGGCCTGGGAGTAAAAGGGCGGGTCAGGAGGGCGGGGCCTACAGGAGAGGGAGGGGCTTTGGAACTAAAGGGAATTGGGTTTGGGGACCGGGCCTGGAGAGAAGAGGCTGGGCCTGGATGGAAGGGAGCGGGGCCTAGGGAAAAGGGCGGTACTAGGAAGGTAAAAAAACTGGGGCCCGAGAGTAAAAGGGTGGGCTCCAGAGAAACTTGGGGTGGAGACTGTGGAGGAGCAGGGTCCCGTAAAGGCGCGGCAGGTGGGAGGCGCGGGGCAGGGGCTTGGAGAGAGAGGGTTAAAGGAAGGAGGTCGGCGGCAGGGCCAGCGGGAGGGGGGCGGGGTCTGGCGAGTCCTTACGAGGCAGCGGCCGGCCACGCAGAGACCCTGGCCACCCTGGCTGCAGGGCGTGCCGTCCAGGACGCGGCCAAAGCTGTGGTAGAAGGCGTGCCCCACGGCCAGGCAGTTGAGGTCGCACTGGTTGGGCGCTGGGGGCCGGAGGAGTGAGTGGGCCAGGGTTTCTTGTATCCTAGTTCCAAACCCCGTCCCGCCAGGCTCCCCCAGAAAGCCATTGACTCGGGCAGATGAGGCTGAGACTCAGCCAAAACCACACGTCAAGGCTGAGCGGAGCCAAGACTGGATTTATGAGTTCTGCCCCCAGCTCCCCGGCTGGGACTGTCCCAGGCAAGGATCCTGGGCCTGCAGCATGCATGCATGCAGTCATTCACCTCACATCCTAATATCGGAATTCCTTACGTGTGATCCGTGATCGACCTCGTTTTCTATTCTTCATTCATCCTTTCATTCGTTCGTTCCGCAATCAACGAACACCTACTGTTTTCCAGACGGAGTTCTAGGCCCGGCACTGGGTAGAACTCACTCGGCACCTGGGCACTGCACCCAGCAGGTGCCCGATAAAAAGCATCCACGGCTGACTGCGACCCGCACAGCCTGGGTGTGTCTCTGGCCCTTGCCGGGACTCAGTTTCCCCCTCTCCCTGGCAGCAGGGTACAATGGGCACAGGCCCCTGGCCTCGATCCCTGCTTCTCCTGCCCTGCTCCCAACTCCCCGAGACTGGCTGGCAGACCCTGCCTGGAATGCAGCCCCAGCTGGCTCTAGCAGGCCTCTGCAGGGGTGGTGGGTTTCTTCCAATTCATAGGGCAAAGAGGAAAAAACAAAAAACCAAAAAAAAAACCCAGGAGGTTGACGGATGGAACTTTCTCCGTTCCAGGCTTTTCTTATCTGTGTCTGCCCCCACCGTGGTGTCTGAAGCTGCCCGTCTTTCTTAAATCTGGAGGCACACTGCCCCGGGCACACGGTTACATAACTCGCTATTTTCAGCTGAATGCGGCGACATTTCCTGCTACCGGGGTGAGTCTGAGAACTGCTGGCCTCTGCTACAGCTCCGAGTGAGTCCTCTGCCTGGTGCTGGACTCTGCAGAACAGACACTGCCTCTCTCTGGCCCTGCGACACGCCTCACACACACCGTCACTTCACCGACTCCTACACATCCCTCAAAGCCCAAGTGCTACTGTCCTCTCCTCCCTACGACCCTGCAAGCCCCCACATCTCCCTGAGAGACCAAGAACTGTGTCTGGACCAACGGGCGGGCAGGCTACTCACCGCCATAGAAGGGCACCCATTGGTAGGTCTTCTGGGGGCTCAGGACAGGGTGGCCATTGTACAGGGCACACTGGAGGTCTCGGAAGGGCACGGCCCCTGGGGGACAGTTCTGGGGACAGAGATGGGTGCGTCAGAAGCTGGGACAGCCTCGGAGGAGCCCAGAGAAGCTGGAAAGGGGGCAAACATATTTGGGGGCATTACAGGGGGAGCAAGACCGAACTTACTGGCAACTGACAGAGGCGGTACTCGTGAGGGTCCCCCCAGCACAGCTCTTCCCCCGGAAACCTACGCGGAGCGGGGCGGCCACCTTGCAGTCAGGCCCTCCAGGAACCCTCACCCCAGAGCCCGCGCACACCCTCCGCCCCGCCAACCCTACCCACATTCCAGCTGGATCAGTGGGATTAAAAGGCACAGCATGTGTGGGCAGGCAGAGGGTGCGGCCAGGGGCTGGGCTGGGCTGGCGGGGATGGGCGGAGGAGGAGGGCCAGGGACCCCGCGGGGCCCCGCCTAGCCGAGCCCCTCGGCTCCCCACTCACCGGATGCAGCGCCGGCTTCGCACGGAGAGTCCCCGCCCACAGGAGCTGGAACAGTGGCTCCAAGAACCCCATGGCGTCCACTCGCCCGGACCCTACTTGGGGAGAGAGAGTCACAGTCAGCCTAGAGCGGGGACGGGGTGTGTAGGGGGGTTGGAGGGGGGCTGGTAACCCCGCACGGCCGGTCTCCAAGCCTGGTGTCCCCCCGCCTCATGTTCCCCTTTACCTGAGCGCCGCCCCGCAAACCACAATTCAGGAGGGTCCACAGCAGAAGCAGGAGATCCCAAAGGGGGCGGGGCCTGCGGGGCAGAGGGTTTCTCTGCAGTGGGGGCGTCAGGAGCCCAGCTCTGCCCTGACCTAAGACTTCTTTCTCATCTCTGAAAAATGGGGTGATAATACAGCTCCCCCCCGCCCCCCGTACAGGAAAGCTGTGAGGGGTCTGTCGGATCAGGTAAGAAAAATGAGTCACAGAGCCTGGCGTGGTAACAGAGTTCAAAGAATTATTATTATTGGTCGTTTATCGTCCTGTGATGCACACAGTAGGTGCCTGATCCGTGTCAGATGACAGAACGGATCATTCCAAGATAGCGCAAGGTGTCTCCAGGGTTGGGGCCCCTCACCGCTCTCCCCACCGTCACGGCTTCTACCTTCCTGTGTGGCCAGGGGCCAGCCACTCTGCTCCCCCTGGGCTCAGTTTCCCCATCTGTGCAGTGGGGACTAGCTGGGGTCAGTCCAGGGCTCTGAGACCTTGCAGAGGGTGTGGCCAGCGGGGGCTGGGTCAGCTCCCAGGCCCTCAGCAGCAGGGAGCCCCCCGACTGGGGAGGGGCAGCGAGGGGCGACCTGGCCCTGGTCCAGACGGCACCTCATGACCTCATGAGCAGAGGGTGTGGGACAGAGCAGCGGCGTGGTCTGTGGAGGGAAAAGACGACTCAGGAGCGAGGGAGGTGGCCTGGGGGCCGGGGCGGGTGACGTGGCCTCGGGTTCCCCATCTGTCAGAGGAAAGATCGAGCCGCTTGCCACTCACACCCTCCGCGTGACCGGGACATGAGCAGAGGAAGGGGGAGGGGAGCGGCTACCTTGTGAGTCCTTTCTCGGGCCAGAGCCAGGGAGCCCAGCGGTCAGAGGTGCCCAAAGGACGCCCAGGACGAGCTGGAGTCCTCTGGCCCCCCAGCTCCTGGGCACCGGATTGGGGGGTGGGTGGGGCTGGTTCCTGCTGGACCCACGGCCCCTCTTGAGCCCCGGTTTCCCTGCATCTCAGGCCCTCCGGGCTCTGACATTTGGACTTGGGACACCCAGGGGTCTGGTGACGAGGTGGCTCCAGGTGCCGGAAGCCCGGGAGACCCAGGGGGGTGCCTGTCTCTGACCCGGGCTGTGCAGCCGATTGCATCTCAGCTGCTCTCTGAACCCAGCTCCCCGACTGGCCCAGGAGGAAGTCTGGAGGGGAGAGCAGAAATAGGGGAGGGACACCCCCTCCTGACTCAGCACTGGCTCCGAAGTGGGGGGAGTGACGGAAAACGAGGGGCCGGAAGGACCACCCTTTCGCTTCCCAGAGCCCCCTGAAGGAGCAAGATACTTAGACCCTGTTTAGCTGCCTTCCCGCCCGCGTGTGGTCTCAGGGCAAGCCACAGCTCTGGGCCTCAGTTTCCCCAGGGGGAAGTGGGGATGCGCTTGCTCCCATCCTGGCGATTGCTGCCTCGCCGCCACCCCGGCCCTACTGGGCCCGGGAAGGGGGAGGCGACGCCCCCGCAGGCAGTGGGGGGATAGGAAGAGGGACTTACCAGCCACGTCGAGCCAAGGCGGCGCGTCCGGGC